ATATATACAGTATTGGCCAATTAGTGTTATTAGTCAAATTTAAACTATCGCCTGACTAAGCCAAATTTATAAAAGCTGACTTAGCTAACTTAGTCAACTAAAGTTTATAAAAAACAAAAATTACCATGATTATCTTTAATAGGTATTAAAATCGCATGAAAAAATTCTGTGCCAGGTTTTGTTGATCATTAACTAATGATTTAAGCTGTAAGGTTTTAGTCGGCTGACTAAGCCAGCCGACTAAAATATCAGCTAATTGGCTGGCTAAATACCTTCCGATAAATTTAGCTTGTATTTTATATTCATTTATTTTCCTTTTTGGAATTTACTGGAATCCTACTATATACTAAATCATATCATCTTTAGCCACATTAGCTAGCCGATCATATTACATTGGCTGGCTCAGCCACGGCTGCCATAGCTGGCTTAAATCACTATCATTAACCATGTGGTACACAAACGTATTTGTGTAACTATTCTATGAATGTTCGATTATCAATGTATTATATAGTATAAGAGACTGATAACTGTACTAAACTTCAAGCAAAGATATCTCAACATCAACCTAGCCAATTTCAATGAATTCTTTTTTATTTGAATTCTGCAGGTTCATAGAATTCAAATAAAAAAAAAATATATCGAATTTGGTCATGTGTTCGTCGAGATAACTTCACTCAAAGTTAAAGAAAATTCAAAACGTCTATCAAAATAAAAGCTGCGCTGAATTATTTTTAAATCTTTGAGCAAAGTTATCTCGATGACCACCTGATTAATCTTGATAGATTTTTTTATTTGAATTCTATAGATTTGTAAAATTCAAATAAAGAAAAATTTATCGAATTTGGCATTGTAGTTATCGAGATATCTTCACTCAAAGTCAAAGAAAAATCAAAATGTCTATCAAACTAAAAGCTGTGCCGAATTATTTTCAAAACTTTGAGAGAAGATATCTTGATAACCACCTGAATAAACTCGATGAAATTTTTTTTATTTGAATTCAATAGATTTGTAGAATTCAAATAAAGAAAATTTATCAAATTTGGCCATGTGGGCATCAAGATATCTTTGCTCAAAGTCAATTAAAAATCAAAACGTTTATCAAACTAGAAGCTGTGCTGAATTATTTTCAAAACTTTGAGCGAAGATATCTTGACAACCACCTGATCAAACTCGATGAATTTTTTTTTATTTGAATTCTATAGATTTGCAGAATTCAAATAAAGAAAAATTTATCGAATTTGGCCATATGTTCGTCGAGATAAATTCACTCAAAGTCAAAGAAAAAAAAATCAAAACATCTATCAAAATAAAAGCTGTGTCAAATTATTTTTAAAACTTTGAGCGAATATATCTTGACGACCACCTGATCAAACTTGATAAAATTTTTTTTATTTGAATTCTATAGATTTGTAGAATTCAAATAAAGAAAAATTTATCGAATTTGGCCATGTGTTCATCGAGATAACTTCAATCAAAGTCAACGAAAAAAAAATCAAAACAATATCAAAATAAAAGCTGTGTTGAATTATTTTTAAAACTTTGAGCGAAGATATCTCGATGACCACCTGATCAAGCTCGATGTTTTTTTTTATTTGAATTCTATAGATTTGTAGAATTCAAATAAAGAAAATTTTATCAAATTTGACCATGTGGGCATCGAGATATCTTTGCTCAAAGTTAATGAAAAATCAAAATATTTATCAAACTAGAAGCTGTGCCGAATTATTTTCAAAACTTTGAGAGAAGATATCTCGATGACCACCTGAATAAACTCAATGAATTTTTTTATTTAATTCAATAGATTTGTAGAATTCAAATAAAGAAAATTTTATCAAATTTGACCATGTGGGCATCGAGATATCTTTTCTCAAAGTCAATGAAAAATCAAAATGTTTATTAAACTAGAAGCTGTGCTGAATTATTTTCAAAACTTTGAACGAAGATATCTCGACGACCACCTGATCAAACTCAATGAAATTTTTTTATTTGATTTTATAGATTTGTTAGATTTTAAATAAAAATCTCTATTGAATTTGATTGGTGGTTGTCGAGATATCTTCACTCATAGTTTTGAAAATAATTTGACACAGCTTCTAGTTTGATAGATGTTTTGATTTTTCATCAACTTGAACAAAGATATCTCGATGACCACATGGCCAAATTTGATAAATTTTTCTTTATTTGAATTCTACAAATCTATGGAATTCAAATAAAAAAAATTCATCGAGTTTGATTAAGTGGTCGTCGAGATATTTTCACTCAAAGTTTTGAAAATAATTTGGCGCAGCTTCTAGTTTGATAGACGGTTTGATTTTTTTTCGATTTTGAACGAAGATATCTTGATGACCACATGGCCAAATTCAATAAATTTTTCTTTATTTGAATTTTACAAATCTATAGAATTCAAATAAAAAAAATTAATCGAGTTTGATCAGGTGGTCATCGAGATATCTTTACTCAAAGTTTTGAAAATAATTCAGTGCAGCTTCTAGTTTGATAGACAGTTTGATTTTTTATTGACTTTGAGCGAAGATATCTCGATGCCCACATGGCCAAATTCAATAAATTTTTCTTTATTTGAATTCTACAAATTTATAGAATTCAAATAAAAAAAATTCATTGAGTTTGATCAGGTGGTCATTGAGATATCTTCGCTCAAAGTTTTGAAAATAATTCGGTGCAGCTTCTAGTTGATAGATGGTTTGGTTTTTCTTCGGCTTTGAGCGAAGATATCTCGATGACCACATGGCCAAATTCGATAAAATTTCCTTTATTTGAATTCTACAAATCTATAGAATTCAAATAAAAAAAATTCATCGAGTTTGATAAGGTGATCGTCGAGATATTTTCGCTCAAAGTTTTGAAAATAATTCGGTGCAGCTTCTAGTTTGATAGATGTTTTGATTATTCTTTGACTTTGAGCGAAGATATCTTGATGCCACATGGCCAAATTCGATAAAATTTTCTTTATTTGAATTCTACAAATCTATAGAATTCAAATAAAAAAATTCATTGAGTTTGATCAGGTGGTTGTCGAGATATCTTTGCTCAAAGTTTTAAAAATAATTTGACGCAGCTTCTATTTTGATAGATGTTTTTATTTTCTTTGACTTTGAGTGAAGTTATCTCGACAAACACATAACCAAATTTGATATATTTTTTTATTTGAATTCTATAAACCTGTAGAATTCAAATAAAAAAGAATTCATTGAAATTGGCAAGGTTGTTGTTGAAATACCTTTGCTTAAAGTTTGGTACAATTACCAGTCTCTTATACTGTATAATATATATGTATATATTGTTATATTAATTGATAATTGAACATGCATAGAATAGTTACACAAATATGTTTGTGTACTCACATGGTTAATAATTGACAAAACCTGGCACAGAATTTTTTTGTATATTAAAATCTATTATCTATCATAAACATAGCCAAAGCAGACCTTTAAATACAGATCACAGGCTGTGTTAGAAATCTGTTTTGAAATTTATGTTCTCATAAGAACATATTTATTTAATTTAATGTTCTCAAAAGTTTTTTTATGTTCTCAAATAAAAAATAATTTCTTTCTCTTTCTCTATTTAAGTATTGGATCTCTTTTATTATTATTATATTAATCCAAATCTGAAATATACACTCCCTGCAGAAAAGCATCTGTTTTAAAAATCATGGGCTTTAGTTACTGCTATGGTATATAATATCTCAAGTGTATGGTTTATGGGCATTTTTAGTGATATATGTCCGCAAAATTTCATAATTGATTGGACAATGCATTAAATACAATTAAACTTGTATTTTGCACTTATTCACATCACATAGCATTATATTTATATGCATATATATATATAGTATGAAATTCGGTTAACCATAATGAATGTTCAACCTGTATATTTTATTGCTTTAACAAGTTTTGGTCTTAATTAAAATGAATAACAATTATTTATTATTATAAAAAGGAAAATGTTAAATGGTGCATATATGCATTTGGTGCTCTTTCTTTTGTATAAATTAAATAAGTATTATATTAGAGTTAGAGTTAGAATTAGGGTTACTTTCAGAGATTAGCAACTTATCTGAAGCTAGTTTTTTCTGCATAATGGAGCCAAGCTAACCAAAGCAAATTAGCTGCAGCTTAAGCTATAACTTGGAGTTGCAGCTTTTAACTATAGTTCACATCAGCTACTACTTAAAGTCATGAATCCAGATTAAGTAATAGTTATTGAAGCCAAAACTTGTATCAAAACTTGATCCATAGCTCAAAGTGTGATAGATAATACCGATACAGCATTGCATTAATTTTTATTTCGTAGCTATAGTAATAATCATTTTAAAGCAATATAAAATTTAAAAAAGCCATACAAGTGTTAACAGCTCTAAAAATCTTTAATTGGTTGAAATTGGTCTACAAAATACTTCATCATATAATATCGGGTTTTATATGACATTTCAATAAAGTATCTTCAGAACTTTTTTTATTTAATCAATTAAACATTATCAATCAATAAATTGATCAATTTCTTGTTTGGATTTTAAACTATATTGATTTAAGGTTCTCTTAAGCACATAAATCAATAGGTTTGCACTTAATTTTAATTGGTAAAAATTAGCTTAACAATCATTATCACTATGAAAAAAGCTTGATTGGTTAAAATTTATTATCCACATTTGTGATATAATCTTTGGCAAAATTGCAGCAAGAATCACTTCAATTAAAAACAGTACTTATGCATGATCTTGATAGTTAGTTAGGGAAGTGTTCATCATTTATCTCCAGATTTTCTATATGTTTGTTTATTAAACTTCTATCTTTAAATATTCGAGCCAGACAATCTTGAGCCAAATGTCCCAGTTTTCGACATACATAGCACAGTCGTGGCCCATAAGGATGATGTTTATTCAAGTTTTACCCTAATTCCATATATGCTACTTCGTATACATCGTTATTCAATTCTTTTTTCCAAGCTTTAAGCTCTGATCTTCGATGTTTGTAACATATTCAGTGCTTGAGATGTTGTTGTTCTACTTGTAATGATTTGACATCCTTCACTAATTTATCCATTATCTCTACAATTATTTTCATCAGTAACACTACACTTTTCTGGTCTTCCATTTTTCGTTTACTGGTTCCAGAAGTGTTTTTTTTTTTTTGTCTATCGCTGATTAAGTTCTTTTTCTGTTCTTGGTGTTCATTTGTTATTTGGTTCTGGTTCTTTATACTTCTTAGAAGTTGTTGTCCTCTTAGTTTTGTCGCTAAGTAAAAATAGTTTTTTTTTTTTTTTTATATATATTAATCGATTACTAATAAATTTAATTTTTTATTGCACCCTAATATGCAATATGGGAGTTTATTTTATTAATCTGATTCTTAATTTATCGGAGTTGTCATTTATTCAAATTAATTTCCCAGGGAGCTTTTACTGGAGTTCTTTCATTTGTTCACACAGATTTCAGCTTCGATATCTAATCACAATCTTTTCATTTGTTCACAGATTTTCAGCTTTGATGTCTAATCATACAAGATTTAGACTTCCACATTCAATCATACCAGGTTTCAGCTTCAATATTAGAACACACAGAATTTATACTTTAGCATTCAATCACTTGATATTTCAATCACACAGCGTTTTAACTTTGACACCATGATGCACAGAATTTAGACTTTGATGTTACGATGTACAGGATTTAAATTTGATATTTAATCACACAAGGTTCTGTCTTTAACTTCAATCACAGAATTTTGACTTCAATATCAAATACACACAGTCTTTGGGGCTTCGTATCTCATAGTCCAACCACCAAATGTAATAACTAATAAAATACCACCCCCAAAAGAGGCGTGGATCTGGCTGGGTAAGTATTTACTTTATTATGTGAAATATAATATCCATCTTCTACATAAGCATAAATGCCGTATTTATATACTACTTGTATATATGCTAAATATACCAAATGTGCTAATTATGCTAAATATGCCGTATGTGTTAAATATCCCAAATATCCCAAATATCCCAAATCTACTAAATATAATACTACTATTGTATGCCACCCTAAACAAATATGCGATCAATCACTTAATTCGGTTAGAATATAGCAACAATCAATTTTTATAAAGGCTTGTAAAAGAATAGGAATTGAAATTTTATACAAATTTTTAAAAAACAAAAATAATTAGAAGTAAATAAATACCTTTGTTTGAATAAAAATGTAACTTGCCAAAGAATAGGATCAAAATTTAGTTTAATTTTTAACCCTGAATTTTTCTTCGACAAGAAATAAAAATAATTAGAAATAAATAATGCCTTCGTTTGAATATAAATGGATCTTGCCAAAGAATAGGATTGAAGTTTTATACAATTTTTAAACCCTAATTATCATTAAAAAATAATTAGAAAAAAATAAAGGCTTCGTTTGAACAAAAATGAATTTTGTAAAAGAATAGAAATTGAAATTTTATACAAATTTTTAAAAAACAAAAAATAATTAGAAGTAAATAAATACCTTTGTTTGAATGAAAATATAACTTGCCAAAGAATAGAATCAAAATTTAGTTTAATTTTTAACCCCGAATTTTCTTCGACAAGAAACGAAAATAATTAGAAATGAATAATGCCTTCGTTTGAATGAAAATGGATCTTGCCAAAGAATAGGATTGAAGTTTTATACAATTTTTAAACCCTAATTTTCATTAAAAAATAATTAGAAATAAATAAAGACTTCATTTGAACAAAAATGGATCTTGTAAAAGAATAGGAATTGAAATTTTACACAAATTTTTAAAAAACAAAAAATAATTAGAAGTGAATAAATACCTTTGTTTGAATGAAAATGTAACTTGCCAAAAAATAGAATCGAAATTTAGTTTAATTTTTAAACCCGAATTTTTCTTTTTCAACAAGAAACGAAAAATAATTAGAAATGAATAATGTCTTTGTTTGAATGAAAATAGGTCTTGCCAAAGAATAGGATTGAAGTTTTATACAATTTTTAACCCTAATTTTCGTTAAAAAATAATTAGAAATAAATAAAGGCTTTGTTTGAACAAAAATAGATCTTGTAAAAGAATAGGAATTGAAATTTTTTAAAAAACAAAAAATAATTAGAAGTGAATAAATAAATACCTTTGTTTAAATGAAAATGTAACTTGCCAAAGAATAGGAATTGAAATTTTACATAATTTCTTAATAACAAATTTTTGTCAAAAAATAATTATTAACAATTTTTTTTCGTCTAAAATAAGAATAAGTGCAACAAGTACATATATATGTTGTAGTACGTAATATATATTAAGCATCTGATCTTATTAACAATTTTTAAGATCAGCGATTATCTTTATATAAAGAATTTTTTTTTATCATATATACATATTTATTACCTGTTACTCTCTCATAATGTTTTTCAAATATTCTTTGAACTTCACTTCTAGAAATTCCTTTCGTCATTTTGCGTATTATTTTTTGTTTTTTGTTTTTTAGCATGTTTAGTATGCCAACTTCTTTTTTCTTTTTAAGTTTTTCCCTTTCGGCATTTTAGTGTAATCTTTATAATGGACTTTTGACTTCGCTTCTCATGTTCTTGGTGTTTTTTCTACAAATATCTTTTTTTTTAGTATGCTAACTTCTTTTTTCTTTTTTTTTTTTTTTTAGGTTTCTAGGTTACTTCCTTATTGCTTTTGATGTTTATTATGTGAATATTTAAAACTTCACTTTTTGAGTTTTTTCAGCATTCTTGGTGTTTTTTCTTTTTATATGAATATTCTTTTTTTTTAGTATTCTAACTTTTTTATTCTGTTTCTTCTATTTCTTTTTAGGTTTCTAGGTTTCTTTCTTGTTGCTTTCTGTGAACTTTAGAATAGACCTTTGACTTCGCATTTGGAGTTTTTTTAGCATTCTTGGCATTTTTTTCCTTTTATATGAATATATTTTTTTTTAGTATACTAACTTCTTTATTCCATTTCTTCTATTTCTTTTTAGGTTTCTAGGTTTCTTTCTCGTTGCTTTTGACGTTTTGTGGTGTGAACTTTAGAATAGATCTTTGACTTTGCTTTTGGAGTTTTTTCGGTATTCTTGGTGTTTTTTTCCTTTTATATAAATATTATTTTTTTTTTTTAGTATACTAACTTCTTTATTTTATTTCTTCTATTTCTTTTTAGGTTTCTAGGTTTCTTTTTTGTTGCTTTTGACGTTTGTGTGTGAACTTTAGAATAGACCTTCGACTTCGCTTTTGGAGTTTTTTTAGTATTCTTGGTATTTTTTTCCTTTTATATAAATATTCTTTTTTTTTTTTAGTATACTAACTTCTTTATTCTGTTTCTTCTATTTCTTTTTAGGTTTCTAGGTTTCTTTCTTGTTGCTTTCAACATTTGTAGTTGAACTTTAGAATAGACCTTCGATGACTTATCTTTCTTTTGGCATTTTTAAGAAATTTTTTTTAAATATTCATTCTTTTTTTTTTTTTAGTATACTAATTTTGTTTCACTTCTTTCATTTCTTTTTAGGCTTCTAGGTTATATCCCTGTTGCTTTCAATGTTTATGGCACAGATCTTTAAAATGGACTTTCAACTTTGCTTCCTGATTGTCTTAGAGTTTTTTTTTGAATATATTTTTTTTTTTTTTTTACTAGTATACTTAATTCTTCTGTTTCTTTTTAGGTTTCTAGATTCCTTCCTTGCTGCTTTCAATAGTTATAGTGTAGATCTTTAAAATAGACTTTCAACTTTGCTTCTTGGAGTTTTTTCACCGGTCTTGATTTTTTTTTAATAGAGCATTCTTTTTTATACCAATATACTAAATTTTTTCTTCTGTTTCTTCGTTGCTTTTGACATTTATGATGCAGATCTTTAAAATGGGCCTTTGGTTCAGTGTGATCTTTGCCATTAGAGTCGATGTTGAGTTATTAGTGTTTACTAGAATTTTCATTAGGATCTTTACAGAAATTTCATTGTATTTTAGTTGTGATAAATCATTTTTTTTTTTTTGTATAATGATTAAATTGTTTTAAATTGTTTAATAAAAAAAAAGATGACTGTATTATATAAATTATTTAATAGTTTTATATTTTATGTATAAGCCACTATAAATATCTGATATGTATCCAGTTTTTATGTAATATTGAGAAAAATAAAATACCTATCGGACTATTTGAATACAAATCGGGATAACTGATATGACTATAATAGGTATCGAAAAGCTTATTATAAAAACCCGATATATATCCGGTTTTCTAGCTATATAGTAAAAAATAAGATACCAATCGGGTAACTGATATTAATACGATCTGTTCTGTATATATTTCCAAATGGTGCCCTATTTTTATAGTTATATTGTAAATAATAAAATACAAGTCAGATAAATATCAGGTAACCAATATTAATATGATTTGTATCATATATTTCCAAATAGTGCCCTATCTGCGCCAAAGATCTGTTTATAATCAGAGGCGAATCGGATACTTTTAGGTAAAGCATACCGGTATTCTTGCATATCTCTATAATACAAATATAGGAGACCTATCGGGAACCCAATAGTTAACCGGTAAGAATTCATTTGACCTGTGTTGTTTTGCTGTTTCTTTTGAAAATTATTAATGGTATATAGGTATTTATGTCCTTGTTTTATGAACATTTTTATTCGTTAAATTGCTGATATAGATTAATGAATGAACTTTATGCTTACTCTCTGATAATTAAAACTGTGCAAATGATTTTTAGATAAACTATAAACATACACTATATTAATAAAATTAATATACTTTTCAAACCATTCCAAAAATTTATCTTTATCCTCCTCAATGCCAACTCCATAAAGGTAACAAATGGCAGTTTTCCAAATTCCCATAGAATTACCTGACTCGGCAGCTTTCAGATAATATTTAAATGCTTTATTCTTATTTGTTTCAACTCCAATTCCTAAATAATAACAAAGCCAACTTGATATATTCCGTTAGAATTATTCATGTCTACTGATTTTTGATAATAAATGAATGCCTTGTTTTCATCTTACTCGATATTCATAACAATATCCAGGCCTGTAAATTCCGTCTGGATCGTTTATATCTGCTAATTTTTTATAATTAATGAGATTTAGTTTATTGAAACATTGATTATTTTTGTCAAATCTTCTTCGTTCGACATTCTTGATTTATAAAAATCAAAAAATATGTAAAAAAATTGGTTGATGGATGATTATCTCTATTTACTGATCTGTAAACAGCATCCTAAATTATACCGATGTACGTAGATGTTATTGATGATTGCACTACTCTCAACGAATAATGCATAATTTTGGTTAAGTGATTTTTTTGTCTCATATCATGTAATACAGTATAAGACCAAAAATTAACTATAATAAGAGCTTGTTTTTGTATGGTTGATTCAGTACTAAAAAAAGAAAATCCTCATCAAGCATAAAATTATTAACAAAAAATTTAACAGAATTAATAAATTGCATTGTAATAGACTTACTCGTATAACGACATATAGGAATTTTGTAAGTATTTAAGTTTTGGCATATTTAGAGCTCATTATAAAGAAGATTGTAGAAAATAAGCTACAATAAATTTAATATTTTATTAATTGAATTTATTTATTAAGAATTTTGTCAATTGACAAGAGCTTAAGTCTGAAGGTAACGGTTGAGAATTCCAATTAATCAAGATAATAAAATGACAATCAGGTATATATTATGTAAATATTAGCCTGTATGTTCTGCCTTAATCACAAATTTCTACAATTAAAAAAGTTTATCAAATTTGATCAGGTGGATGTCAACGATCAATGCTTTGTAAAAATTTGAAATAAAAGCTGTATTTAAAATTGTTTTTAAATTTGATCAAAGACACCTCGACACCAATCTGACAAATTTGATCAGCTTTTTTTCTATTCGAATTCTGGTGATTTCTATAATTAAAGGAAAAAAAATGGTTGGTCAGGTAAATGTCTAGATATTTTCGATCAAAGTTTATAAAAAATTAGAAATTATTAAATAATCTAGGGGTGTGGAGATATTAATTCTTAATTTCAATTTTTCAGATCATTAATTTATCGATCGAACATTATGATGAAAGTTCAAAGATACTAAAGAATCCACGTAACTCAAAATTTAAATATTGACTACTCATACCTTCAAAATCGTTTATGCTAGTAAGTTTGTAAGTCTGAAATAATTTGAAACGCGATTGTCTAGTTGAAAGTTTTTATAAACTAATTTGCAAACACATTAAGCATCAGTTATATCCCGCAGTAAGTAGTTGAAGCAAAGATACAATACGGTATAGTAGATTATATTACTAAGAAAGTTCCACCAATTTGCCTAATATTCCAAAGTTTTTGTAAATAAATTATAAGATTTTCGATCCTCAAGATAAGTTATTTATAAATAATATTAATTTTATCGATAATATGGAGGGAAACAACCATTCTTTTCTGCTCAAAAAATTTTTTATTATCGCAAGACAATGTAGTTATATATAATTGAACTTATTCAAATAATCATAGCCTTATGAAGCAAATTATTCCCACCCAAATTTTAAATTCATAATTAGTATTAGAAAGTTCAACATAATACCAATTTTGTCAACAAATGTAAATCTTCCGCCAATTTAGCAAATTGTTTTAAACAAAAGCAAACAACTTTACATATTAACAAAGAATAATAAGTTTGAAACAAGAATAAATGATATCTACCGTGAAGCCTTTATCAATTAATATTTTCAATAACACCATATTTTCCTTGAAATGATATTTCTTTATAAGAAAATTTTTTTAAATTGCTTAAATTTTCGTAATCGAAATAATTATTATTAAACCCCAAGGAGGTTAATGTAGTATTTTCACGAAGAGCCTCTGCCAAGATTCTTCCTCCTTCTAATCCAATATTATTATAGCTAATATCTAAAGAAGTCAGAGTATTATTGATGCAAAGAGCTTCTGCTATTGCTTTCCCTCCTTCAAATCCAATCTTATTACGGCTAAAATCTAAGTAAGTTAAGGTTTTGTTTTCATAAAGAGCCTGTGCCATTGCTTTTCCTCCTTTAAAATCAATATCATTATCGCGAATATTTAAGGATGTTAAAGTAGTGTTAATGCAAAGAGCTTCTGCTAGCGCTTTCGCTTCCTCAAAAAAAAGCCGAGCATTAGAAAGATCTAAGAAAGTTAATGCAGTGTTTACGCAAAGTGCCTCTGCTATTGCTTTTCCACCATCTTCAATTTTATTAATGCTAATATCTAAATTAGTTAAAGTGGTATTTTTATGAAGAGCTTCCGCTAATGCTTTCACGCCTTTAGAACCAAGCCAATTGTTACAAATCTTTAAAGTAACCAGAGTAGTATTAACGCAAAGTGCTTCTGCTAATAAATTTCCTTCCTCAAAACCAAGTCGATTACCATAAAGATTTAAGGATGTTAAAGTAGTGTTAGTGTAAAGAACTTTTGCTAATAGTTTCATTCTTTCAAACCCAATATAATTGTCACCAATGTCTAGAGAAACCAAAGTTGAATTTTTACAAAGAGATTCCAATAATGCATTTAGGCACTTTAAATTAGATTGATATTCATGAAAACGCAAAGAAGTTAAAGCAGTATTCTTACGAATAGCCTCTGCTAATAATTTCCCTTTTTCAAAACCAAGACAATTATTTGAAAGATCTAATGAAGCTATTGTCGGGGTTTTGCTAATAACTTCTATTAAGTTTTCAATATCCTCGGATTTAAAACGCATATCGTTGAATGATAAATTGATTATAGTGGTATTTGTAAAAAGACTTTCAAATATTACTTTATTAATAATAGTTCTCCAAAGTGATAAATCTTTAAGATTTTTACTTGTTCGTAGAAACATTGCAACCAAAGAACATTCAATAGCTTTTACGGCCAAATCTTCAATTTCCTCATAATCATCGTTTAAAAAATTTGAATCATACATATCATCATAAAATCCTACATAATCAAGCCAATTTACAACCCCATCGGTCAAATATTTGCCAACAAATGTAGTATAACTTGAATACTCAAATAATAGTTTTTTTGGGTAGTTGCGAATATTAATTCTAAAAGGGATCAATAGTGATTGTTCTTTAGCGTTTAACGATAAAAGATATATTCTTATAAGTTTTCTATCGTGGGAATATTTTGTTGGCCTGCTCCATAATATTGGTAGAATAATTCTGCACCATCGACGGTTTACAAGAAGGCTTGAAAATAAATTTTTATAATTTTCTTTATCCTGAAAGTTATTAAAAATTTCGAAAAAACATTCATTTGGTAAATTATCCATTTTAAGAATAAGAATTGATATCGATAATGATATACGTATGTACGTACGTAGAATATTCGTCACCTATATATAACAAATGTTGTGAAACCTTATCACATGAGTATAGATGCATAAAATGTAGATCTTACAAGATATTTCAAACACATGACTTGAATTATGAGATGATGAAATAAAGTTTTATATGAAATTAGTTTTCAGTAGATAATTGCTTATGAGACGAACTTTCTTTGAATCTATCGTTTATAAAGTAAAGCTTTATATGAACTACTATCGTTGTATATAGAATAAGGCCACACAAAATTAATTTTATTGTTTTGCGTAACTTGTGTTCCAAAATTTCAGTCGGCGGGTCAGATTTTTTTTTAATCTATTGTAAAAATTACTAAATGCATAGTTAATTTTTCGGGTTGCATAATATGAATTAGAAAACTTTTTATTTTTCGGACTCCATAACATCGAGTGGCGCCAGATAAATTTATGGGAAAATATTAAATAGCAAAAATTGATTAATTAGTACATAAGAAATAATTTTTTTTGAAAAATTCGGTCGGCGTGTTATTCAAAACGAAAAATTAACTTTGCGTGACCTAAGGTGAGCTACTTCGATAAAAAAACTATCATATATTTTTATTCATGAAAATTCTTCTATGCTTTTTTTAATACAAGTTACATTAACTATAAATTATTAATCGAATATTTGTAATTGTATTTTTTCACCAATGTAAATCTTTTCAGTTGCTAATATACAATGATATCTAACTATAGCAGATATTTGCAGTTTTTATCACTTGTAGTTTAAAAACAAAGTTCAAGAATTTATTGAAGCTATTTATTTTGTATTATTTTGAATACTTTATTTAAGGTTTTCACACTCCTGTAATATTTATAGTTTTTTAAACTTTAAGAATATTTCAATACTTACCTAAACAAATTTGATAAATTTTTTGCTTAAATTCTGCTGTTTTTATATTTTTAAAAAGGGCATCGAATTTGACTAAGTAGGTGTCGAGATATCTTTGATTAATGTTTTATAAAGTTAAAATGCATCAAATAAAACTTGCAAATTCGTGAACTTTTTTTGTTGAAGTCAACTGCTTTCTAAATTAAAATAAAAAAAGTTATAGAATTTGGATAAAATAGGTATCGAGTTATTTTCGATCAAATATTAAACCCAATTTTTGACGCAGTTTCTATTTGATAGACGTTTAAATTTTACACGCTTTATCGATGATATCTTGACATCTACCTAACCAAAATTCGATGAAATTTGATTTAAATTCTGTTGCCTTCTACAATCGAAATTACGAATTTAGTTAGGTAAATGTTGAGATATCTTCGATCAAAATTTGGAAACAATCTTTGGTTTGCTTCAGCATTTAAAATATTATAAAATTTTTAATAAAGATAACTTGAAATCTGCTTAACCAAACTCTATTTACTTAATTATATAAAGCAGCAAAATTTAATCAAAAAAAAAAGCTCATTAAATTTGTTTAGGTAATGTTGAATATCCTCTATCAGAGTTCATTTACAGGTGATGTGAAATTATCAAAAAATGGGTGTGGAAATATAAATCCCAATTATTATTAATTTAAATTAATGAGCGAGATTAAATAACTTATTAAATGAAGTTATTCAAGTTCACAATATTTTATTAAAATTTTGTACATATGGTGCAAGGTAGAGGCCTGCATTGGGTCCCAAAGCCCGGCCCGGTGTGCGGGCCTGGGCGGGCCTAAAAAAAATTTTTATAATCGCGGGCCGGGCCGGGCTGAAATTTTGAAAAAATTTATATTAAAAATTTGCGGGCCGGGCCAAAACGGGCCGGGCTTGACAAAAAATTTTTAACCGCGGGCGGGCCCGGGCCGGCAAAAAATTTGTAACCCTAATTGCGGGCCGGGCCCGGGCCTTAAAATTAGAAATTTGCAGGCCTCTAGTTCCAGGTTCCAAACCTTAAGATAATAGTATAAAAGAAAAATAAACACGTCTCGATGCTACGCATCGATACTTGTTTATTTTTAAGCCGCTATGTACAACTGAAGGTTGTACAGCGTGGTGTTGGTATGAATTTAAAACAAAATCTACACAAAAAATTCACATAAAAAATATAAATAGATGTGGAAATCCTTCATCAAAAAATTTGGAGCCAAAAAAAAAAATTGGAGCCAAAATTTGGAACAAAAAAAAAAAATTGGATCCAAAAAAATATAATAAACAGAATAAAAATGTCATTGAATATTTTTTTTAAAATAGAATTAAATAACTCCATTTCGTGTTTACAAAAAAACTGTAACTATAAGTTTCGCGATCCAAAAAACAAGCATACAGGAATTATTGATCATTACAGAAAATGTCACAAAGAAATTTATGAAGAAGCGAAAAATATATTAAAACCATACTCAAAAACAATTCAGCAAAATCATTTTAGTTCAAGATTTATAACTCAACAACCAGCTTCACAACAAGAAAATCAAACTAAAAATACTACACAGACAAGAGAATATAATAATATTGTTGTTTATAATGAGCTTTTTTGTTTTCATTATTTTGTCGACGGGCGTTATTATATTTTTAAATTTTATAAACTTAAAAGTAGTGGATATCATTTAAAAATTTTTTGTAGTGGTGATATTATTAAAATTATCGATGAAAAATTAGATGATTTCTCATTTTCTTTTACAATGATTAATAATAATAATTTTATTAAACTAATCGAA